AGACACCCCAAAAGGGCTATCCTCATTAATTAAGCCACAAAAAACCAATTGACAGTAAATCAGACTGGACAGTGAGAAATGAAGAGCTATTTCAAGACTCAGTGCAGCATTTATTAACAGATAATAACCTCTCTGAAATTGGCTTTTGTTTTGCACTTCTCTAATCTAATAATAGCGTCCCTTCCTACCTCCAGCTGTATTTTAATCAGTCCTGGCTTCCAGCAACCAAAGCCATACAGAGCACACTCCTGGGTGCTGCCTTCCCAGGAACATTGGCCTGGTCCTCTCTTACTAGGACAGACAGACAGACAGATAGCTGCGGGGCTGTTAGTACTGTTCCCTCCTTCTACTTGAACGCTAAATTACAGCCGGAGGGAAGAAAGGCATTTAGATGAGAACAAACTGGCCTCCAGATGGGCACACTCAGTCTGGAACAGTCTCCTTTCTCAAGGTTAATCCTAATTTGTCAAGGTCACTGTTAAACTACCCACACCCTACCTGGTAGCTTGGCTCTATCAGTCAATAGTTTTAATTCAAAAACTTCTTTTGGCAGAGGAAAAAAAAGCAAGCTGCAGCCTGTTGCAGAGGACATTTTTCCTCTTTTGTTGTTGTTGTTGTTGTTTTTTGAGACAGAGTTTCTCTCTGTCTTTGCACCTTTCCTGAAACTCACTCTGTAGCCCAGGCTGGCCGCGAACTCACAGAGATCCACCTGGCTCTGCTTCCCGAGTGCTGGGATTAAAGGCTTATGCCACCACCACCCGGCGATTTTGGTTTTTTGAGTCAGGTCTCACTGTGTGGTCACAGCTGGGACTGAAGGAGTATGCCACCACACCCACCCTGAAAAGGATACCTTATACTTCATCTGCACTTTTCTAAATGCAAGCTGCTTTCATAAAAAGGGGGAAGCAGGGGGAAAGGAGGGTAAGACTGTTTTCTGCCTGATGTAACATAGTATACAGTGAACCCAGTCCACATCAACCATCTAGAGAGGCCTGATTTAGCCGGGCGGTGGTGGTGCACACCTTTAATCCCAGCACTGGGGAGGCAGAGGCAGGCGGATCTCTGTGAGTTCAAGGCCAGCCTGGTCTACAGAGCGAGATCCAAGACAATCAAGGGTACACAGAAGAACCCTGTCTTAAAAAAAAGGAAGGAAGGAAGGAAGGAGGGAGGGAGGAAGGGGAGGAGGGAGGGAGGGAGAGAGGGAGAGAGAGGGAGGAAGGGAGGGAGGGAAAGAAAAAGAAAAGACCCTATTTAGCCTAAAATCTCAAGTGCATTCCTTGATTCATTCATTTAAGTGCTGTCCCTAAATTCATGTAAGTCAGTGAAGCAGCTGATGACTGGCGGCAGCCGCTCTAATTTGGTAATGCTCCACCTTGTAAACAAAAACCAAAGCTGACACAGGAGATAATGAACTAGCCTAGCCTTAGTTCCATTTCAAGACGACAAGGCTTCTGTGGACTGGCAATCCTCTGAGACATTCAGACCATGACTGTTAGGAGCCAGGGCTCTTTCCCATGAGTTATCAGGTTCCTAGACTCACAACCAACACCTCCTCGAATCCAGCAGGATCCTGCACCACCACCACCACCACCACCACCACCACCCAGAGCTTACACCATGAGTAATCCAGCAAGCCCATGTCTCCCACCACTGCTGGGCCTAAGGTGCCACATCCCATTGGAAGGGGTATTCAAAACACTAATGTGATTAGACACTCTCCTTACAAGTCACTAGATGACTCCAACAATGAAAGCAAACCCAGCTCACAGCAATCCAAAGACAGGCCCTTCGTCCAGCACCACCACACAAGACCTGTAGAGGTGATAAAGACAAGCCCAGGGCTGGGGCGTGGCTCACCCACAGTAAAAGTGCCTGTGGCACAAATGTGAGGACCCAAACCCACAATAAACAACCCAAACAGCTACTCCAGACAAACCATTCCCAAGGGGAGCTCCAACTTACAACCGGTCATCGTCACAGATGGCATCTGTACGGGGGCAGGAAGTCAGGTGAGGTGTGGGGTGAGTGCAGTAACCCGGCAGTGGGGAGGCAGAAGCAGGAAGATCACCAGCCTGGGCTACACGTCCCAGGCTGGCCTGGGCTACACGGTGAGAAAACCAACGCAACACTACACCATCGGACACAAGTTCGGTGCTCGGCACCGCTGCTTGCCACGGCTCCCGTCTCCTAACGGCTCTACCAGATTTGGAGTACCAAGAGAGCGGCAAGCCGGGAGGAGACAAAGCCAACTCCGCCGCACTGTTGGTAATTTGAACTGATTACACTCTCAGAACGCTAGGCCACATCCCACTGCTCCTCCTGGAAGCCACGATCATCTTCCAGATTTTAAAGGTAAAAAATGTCAGGCCAAACTCCAAGTGGTGCGGTCTAGAGAGATGGCTCAGCGGTTAAGAGTACTTGCTGCTCTTGGAGAGAACCCATATTCAGTTCCCAGCACCCACATTAGGTGACTCACAACTACATATAATTCTAGCTCCAGGGGATCCAACACCTTCTTCTGAACTCCGGGGACACTTTCATTCAAGTCTACATGCCCACATTACTCATACACATATTTAAAAATAAATTTTTAAAAAATCCAAGTGGTTAAAAGGGAATCACATATTAGACACAAACCATTAGTTCACCTCTTAGGAAAAATGCATGCAAAGAAGGTAGGTAAAACTTCCTTCCCCTTCTAAAGACCTTCTTAAGGTCTGTAGTTTTATATTTAGGAGGACATACTCACTATTTCCCAGTCCAGCAGCAACATGTGGGTCAGTCCCACCAAAGTTTCTCAAGTCCATCTTGAGGAAATGCTTACCAATCAGTAGGTAGGTAGGTAGGTAGGTGTGTGTGTGTGTGTGTGTGTGTGTGTGTGTGTGTGTGTGTGTGTGTGTGTGTGTGTGTGTACAGGGTCTCTCACTCAAGAAGAAGTTCTCCCTTTTGACTAGGTTGACTGGTCTCAGGATCCACCTGATTCTGGGGTTCAGTGGTTAAGAGTACTTGCTGCTTCTTGTGAAGAATCCATATTCAGTTCCCAGCACCCACATTAAGTGACTCATAACTACATATAATTCCAGCTCCAGGGATCCAACACCCTCTTCTGAACTCTGGGGTTCAGTCATACTGGGCTGTTTTTCACATGGATGCTGGGGATTTGAACTCAGGTCCTCCTGCTTACACAGCAAGAGCTCTTACCCATTGAGCCACCACCTCACCCCAAGAGCACTTAGTATCTAAGGAGGGCTTGCTCTGTACCAAGGACCATGAAAGTTCTTCCTGTTTTGTTCTTACGTGTGATGCTGAGGATTGAACCCAGAGTCTTCCGGTGTGTGAGTCAAGCACTCTACCAAAAGGGCCTTTGGAAAAAGCCATCTCTATAGGTCTGTGTATTGGAAGTGAGCACATGTAAGAGCTGAAGTGATGTGTCAATTAGGGCTCATATTTAAAGTTTTGCTGCTGCTGTTTTTTGACACAGGGTCTGATGTAGCCCAGGCTGGCCTCAAACCTGCTATACAGCAGGACTGGCCTTAAACTCCTGATCTCTCACATCACCTCAAAAGTACTGATAGCACAGGCAAGTACAACCATGCAGCTCATACCTGAAATTTTGAATTGTCTGGTAATTATTTACCAATTTGTATTTCCACTGACACTGTATAGAATATTCTCCTTGCTCCACTGTCAAGAGCAAATATCATCTTTCATTTTGTCCAATCCGGTGGGATGGAGGGGAAGGCTCTCAATTCTCCCATAGTCACTTTACATTTCAATGTCCCCACCTAGTTTACTTTGTCTGAGAACCGGCCATTCAGTTTTCGATTTTAATGTACCCAAGGCTCTCATTTTGGCTCTGCAGCTTGTCTTTATAGCTTCCCGAGAAAGCCTTCCTCGATCCACCTGCATAAAGCATCAATCTTAAGGAGCACAGAGAACGCCAACAGTAATTTAACATACGTTGTTTTCAGTTTTCCATGCAAAGATGGAAGTTTTAAATTTGTGGCCCGTCGTGACAGCTCAGCAGTGAAGAGCACTTGCAGAGGACCCAGGCTCAGCTCCCAGCACCCACACTGCCAGCTCATAACTTGCTGTGGCTCCAGCTCCAGGGGTGGGAACCCTCTCCTAGCCTCTTCAGGCACCCGCACTTGGGGCTTACACTCACACAGATACACACATGCATCTGGTTTTTAAAAATCCTTTAAAATCTTTTAAAAAATTTATATAAACTGCTACAGATAATCACATCTCTGTATGTTCTAGCTACAGTAAGCGGTAATGTATTTAGATTTTTTTTCCCCACCCAAATCATACTAGTTAACTACGAAGCCTAGTTTACATATCTGAATTCCATTAGTATCTACCGGTCATTCACTTTCGCCAAGAACAAAGGTTCAGATGAATTCTTTCTAAACTGAAAAACTTCCTGAGAGCTCGAAGGGGCAGAACTATTAGCCTCTTTTTTTTTTTTTTTTCAATGAGAAACACTTTTTTTATACAGACATCAGCAGACTTAACTTTGATATAGGGCAGTAAAATCTGCTAAGTATAATCTTACATCAGGATTCTATTTATAGTAGGAATCTCAGGCTCAAGAAAGAGAGTTTTTGTTTTTTTAAAGCCAGGTTTGAAGAAACCATGGTGGTACATGCAGACTTCCTTCCGGTTCAAGGCAGGACTGGTTAGTGAGAGGACCATGTTTGTAGTCAGTAGGTAAAACCAGGTCTGAGCTTGAGCGTGTGTGTGTGTGTGTGCGCGTGTGTGCCTGTGTGCGTGCGTGCGTGTTTGGAAAGGGCAGAAGGAATGAAGGGGAGCTGCCGAGAGACAGCATGGTGGAAGGTTTCCTTCCCTGCAGCCACGTGGGAGGAGGTCTTCGCGGCCTTAACAAGCTGAGGCCGGGAGGGAGGTAAGCAACCCAAGGCCATGCTCAGGGTCTGAAGAGTCAGAAGCTGCTACTGCTCCGGACAGAGCCACAGTCCTGACCCCGCCACATCACTTGCCTAGAAACCTGGAGTGGGAACATTCCTCAGTCAATGCCCTCCTCCACCGTTGTAGTTGTCCCAAGAAGGACTTGAGCTGAAGGCAGCCTATATATGAACTTGGGCCCGAGAGCGCCACAAGAGTGAGATCCCAACAACTGGTCAGCTGGTCAGCCGCTGAGAGACATGCCAAGTGCAGCCATGAAGCGCGTGCTTCGAGGGGAGCCAAGACCCTGTATGGGCAGTGCAGGCCCCTTCGCCCACTTCACCTTCCTGAGCTCTAAGTCATTGTCCATTGTCTTCAAGGAACTTTCCAGAAGGTTCTAAATTCTACTAGATTATAACATACGTAGGAGTTCTGCTTTTCCACTTTCTTGGCAAATATTAAAAGTCAGGCAAAGGAAACCAGGGTGCAGATCAGATGACCAATGCACTGAAGACAATCCAGTCCAAACAGTTTCCAAACAGTGTGAGCTGGCTTAACTCACACCAGCAAATACCAGGGAACCTTCCAGACTTGTCTTACTTGGCCCAGCTGTAGAAACATCCCTTACATCTGGGGACAGGCAGAGAGGAGCCGTGTAGGACAGTGGAGGGCAGGCATCTGGCCTGACCAGGCATCCTGCGGCCTTCCTCCTCTGGTGCCCAGCTGGACACGTGACTGCCACAGCTGCCCTTGATCTGGCGAGGAGAGAGGCAGGACCCACCGGGCTCTCAACCTCAATGTTTCAGTCATCGTATTCTATACAAACATCTCTCCAAAGACAAACCCCAGCTCCATCTTCCTGTGGATAGGAACTACCCTTCTCCACATCCTTAGAACTCTGGCGAGCTCTTCATGAGGCCCCCTGTGCTTCCAGAGACAAAACTCAGTGAGAAATGGACCTCCTCCTCTCTCTGGCCCTTTGGGGGAAAATGTGAAGGAAGACCAACAAGATAATTCTCGGCAGGTAAGAGTACCTGTCACCAAGCCTGGCAACCCGAGTTCCTCATACTAGACCTTCCTCCCCCCTCTCCCCCTCCCCCCCCACACAATCAATCAACATTTTTAAAAGTTTAAAAACAGAAGAGTTGGGCCCTTTTTCAAGAGTTTTTCAAGAGTTCCTCACAGACCAGCCGCTCCTGTCATTAACACCAACATCTACTCCCTGCTCCCAGGCTCTGAGTCACTGGGACAATGACACCTCAGCAGGAGAGGGCGGGGGAGAGGTGGCCGAGTGACAGTTGCAGCAGACCCCAGGCAGGAATCTGCAGCGTGGAACCTGCTAGACCCTTGCTGTTTCCAGGAATCTCCTAACTCACCTTACTGACTTCCCAGTTAGCCGCCACCGATGCGACTCTGGACGGCGCCTCTCCTCGAGGCCTCCAAGTCTCCCTCCACGTGATCAGACACCTGTGATCCTAACTGGTCAGGTAGGTGGTGCTGCCTTCCCCCACATACCCAACTGCAAACACCTACTACTTCCCATCCACCCCTCTCTGCTCCTCCTTCACTCACACAAACCGTGCCCAGTTCCAATAAGGCATAATTCTCAACGCCACAGACCCGTCCATTCCCTAATTCTGCCCATCCATCCCAACTACACACCCAAACTGACTTACTCTTGTCCATCAAGGGATTGCCAAAAATGGTCATCCGTAATGTTCCCTTCCTTAATTCTCCCAGCTGCCTTAGTTCATAGGACACCAGAAAAAGAAATTTCTAGACAGGAAGCCAAAGGCCTTGTGAGTAAGTCCAGATACTTCTCACTTTCTACCTGGTTAATGGACTTCTGGATTCTGAACTCCATTTCCAGTCCAGTATAAGGACGTGAGTCAGCTCGGATTCTTGTGCAACTTTTTCTTTTTTATTCAACAGAATCAAGACTGGAAAACTAGGGAGGAACCAGCCCCACACAGGAGCCCATCCCATGCAGCAATATGACCAAAAGCCCTGAATACAAGAAGCAACATTGGAAGCCGCTAAAGAGCTTAAAACTATAACTTTAACCAGAGGTTAAAACTGTATCATGAAAGACATATATGACAATGAGCTCTAAGCACCACGGTGGAAGACATTAGGGCACACTTCAGGTCTGAGCAGGGTCTGGGCACACAGAAGGCTTCAAATTAGCACAAATGGCACCTGGTGGCTGCCCCTCAGTAGAGGCTGGAGGGAAACGTCAGGGGAAGAAGCAAATTACCTATAAGCCAACATCATCCCTGAGACTCTTGACTCTCCAAAAGACAGTCATACTGGTGATCCTGTGGAGTCGTTATTTGTCCCGTCAAGTAGGAGCATCTTAGAGACTATGGATAAAAGCCAAGTGAAGACTGGGTACAGGCTGGCTGCTTGCACCACTCTGCCCTGAGGAAAACTGATCTCTCCCATAGATGGGGGCATCCTCTGGCCACCTGCTCGGCGGCGGCGGCAGCACACGTCTTTAATCCCAGTGCCTGGGAGGCAGAGGCAGGTGGATCTCTCTGAGTTCTAGGCCAGCCTGGTCTACAGAGTGAGTTCCAGGGCACCAAGGGCTACACAGAGAAACCCTGTCTGGGGTTGCGGGGGAGGTCAAACTCTGGGGCTAGAGAGATAAAGGGCCCAGAGGTTAAAACCCTTGCTGCTCGGCTCGGTGGTGGTGGTGGTGGTGGTGGTGGTGGTGGTGGTGGTGGTGGTGGTGGTGGTGGTGGTGGCACACGCCTTTAATCTCAGCACTCTGGAGGCAGAGGCAGGTGGATCTCTATAGAGGCAGATGGTCTATAAAAGTGACTTCCAGGCTAGTGAGGGCTACTTACTGAGACCTTGTCTAAGTAACAGAAGTAACAGGCTCCCAAGAGCTTAAGACTGCAATAGTGGCAATAATGTCATTCTGAAAGTGACCTTTATGTGCTTTTTGGCACAAAGCTGGTTAAAAGGGTAATTCCTCCCTCTCTCTCTTCCTCTCTTCCTCTCTCTCCCTCTCTCCCTCCCTCCCCCCCTCTCCCTCTCTCCCTCCCTACCTCTTGCTCTAAGACTTATCCTTTAGAATTTAAAATTTTGTATATATTGGGGTGGGATATGGGCACATGAGTGCAGCTGCCCTTGAGTGCAGAAGAGGGTGTTAGATCGCCCTAGAGCAGAGTTACAGACAGCTGTGAACGGCCCAGCTTGAGTGCTGGGAATTAAACTCTGGTCCACTGCAAGAGCAATACATGCTCTTACCACCTAAGCCAGCTCTCCAGCCCCAAAATAGCCCTATTTTTTTTTTTTTTTTCTGAGACAGAGTTTTTCTGTGTCGCTCTGGCCATCCTGGAACCTGCCTCTGCCTTCCAAGCACTGGGATTAAAAGTATGTGCCACCAACTCCCAGCAAAATGTCATTTCTTAAATGAGGATACTGGATGAGGTCTGTAGTCATACTAGCCTCTTTTGTTATTATTTAGTGTTTTAAGAGCTCACTCTGTAGACCAGGCTAGCCTAAAACTCATTATGGAGCCCAGGCTGGCCCTGGCCTTGTAAGAGCCATCAACCTCCCAAGGGCTGGAGTGAACCTTCTCTGGCCTGGAATTCACTTATATAGACCAGGCTGGCCCCAAACTCAGAGATCCATCTATCTCTGCCTTGAGAGTATCAGGACTGTGCGCCAACACCAGGATTGTGTGCCAACAAACCTATCGACTGTCTGTTCTTTACTAGTGTGTGCAGTTTCCAAATTCTGCTTTTTCATTGTGTATTTCAACATGCAGGACCAGGTATGGTGGTACCTGGCTTACACCAATCTCTTTCTCTGTCCTCTCCTTCTGTTGACCTAAAATTTTGCAAGATTCTAACAATGTTTAACAGTAATTGATTAATTCAGTTCATTATTTTTCCATTTCAATACAGACCCAAATTTTAATCAACAATATAATTTATAAAGGGCTTAGTGTTATGAAATTAAACCACAGTTACAGGTGTGATGACCAAGCACAGCTAAAGAAGCAAGATGATGATGATGATGATGATTACTCAGTTACTTGATTCTGAGCCATGGAAATGCCCATTCAAGGCCAATCCCATTCTGAAGGGAGTGAGACCTGCCACCATCCTGACTGAGTCCAGAGTTAGACTGGACCAAGCCTGCCTCAGAAGTTCCTATTACGTCATCCACAGCCAATGAGAACTTGGAACCAGCATGACACCTCACGCAGTTCCATTTCTAAACAAAAACAAGGCAGGCTGAGGAGGTGGCTCCCTCGACAGAGTGCCTGCCTGCCCATCAAGCCCTGACTCGGTCTCCAGCCCTGCATAAGGCAGGCATGGTGCTGCATGCCTTTTTATCTGCTGGGATTATTTGAAAGATAGGGGCACAAGAATTAGAAATTCAAGGCCTGCTCAAGCCCATACCCCCCTCCCCCCGCCGCCGCCGCCAAAAAAATGAAAAAATAAAAACTAAAAGGCAAGGATCTTGACAATTTGGACAACTTTTGTGTCTTTATTCTGAATGAATATGTGCATAGCATCTACTAAGCCCTTAAACTTTTTAAATATATTTTATGTGTGTGTACTGGCTGCATGTATGTATATGTAACATGTATGTGTCTGATGCCTAAGGAGGTCAGAAGAGGGCATCAGATCCCCTGGAGCAAGAGTTACAGTCATAAGCCACCATGTAGGTGCTGGGAACCAAACTCTGGTCCTCTCCACCAGCAATGTATGTTCTTAACCATCAAGCCACCTCTCCAGCCTCGCTAGTAAGCCTCTTTGAGTCTGAAAATAACTTCCTCTCTCATGGGTTCCTTTGTAGACGTGAGGTTAGAGGCATGATTGTAGTGGTATTGTGTTCCCCAAAATATTGTGCACCCTAATAAACTTATCTGGGGTCAGAGACAGAGCAGCCACAATATTAAAATAAGGATAGGCAGTGGTAGCACACGCCTTTAATCCTAGCATTCCAGAGGCAGAAATCCATGTGTTCAAGGATACAGCCAAGCATGGTGACTCACGCCTTTAATCCCAGAAAGCAAGCCTTTAATCCCAGGGAGTGATGGTAGAAAACAGAAAGGTATATTAAGGCGTGAAGACCAGAAACTAGAAGCATTTGGCTGGTTAAGCATTTGGCTGGTTAAGATTTCAGGCTTTCAAGTAGCAGTTCAGCTGAGATTCATTTGGATGAAGATTCAGAAGCTTCCAGTCTGAGGAAACTGCTCAGCTGAGAAGTTGGCCAGGTGAGGTTAGCTGTGGCTTGTTCTGTCTCTCTGATCTTCTAGTGTTCACCCCAATAACTGGCTCAGGTTTGATTTTAATAATAAGACCTTTTAAGATTCCTG